AATGTTCTTCTGTTGTGGAGCACAACCCTGGCGAGAGAGTTCATTTGTTGTTGGAGAGATTCCAGGCTTCAGTCGCAGATGTTATTGCTTAGTCCAGCCTGTCTCAGTCAGAGTAGAATCAGGTGTAGCTTGTAACAGCTGTCGCCATAGCAATGCCTCCAGCATCCAGGGAAGGTGTAAGTTGATCTCTACCAGCAGGGGGAAGAAGATTTTTCTTTGCTGGCAGCTGTGTCACACCTGAAATGTACTAGTACACAAAAGGTGGACAAAGAGAGATTAACACAGTTTTGGGTTTCTTTCTTGTACCATATGAAGAGAGGAGGGGTGATGCATGCTGTGCTGGAGAGAGTAGTTAGTGAGGCATTTGTAGGCTTACTCGCTGAAAATGAAAATTAAATGGTTAGCCAGTTGTTTGAATCCACTTAGATGAGAGTCAGTGAAATCTTTTGCTGGATGCACAAAAGAAGGCATTTAGACATTGGGGTAGGTGGTGAAGGGAAGAAAGTTAGACTTCTTCCAGGACATAGTTGATCTTTTCTGGTCCTCTGTCTTTCCTGTAGAATAATGTTATGAGTTAGCACAGACTTGGAAGCTGTTGAGAGACATGAAAGTTAGCTGTAGGGCACCTAGAAGATACGCCTGAGTTATTACTTTAATGTTCCACCGATTGTCCCATGGATCTGATACTTTCACTGAAAAATAAAATCTCTAGAACATGGTATTAGGGAGAGTGGGGGCTGTCTGAAGCGTTGGTGTTAAGAAGGGTAAAGACAGCCATGAGGATGACAGAGAAGGATGCTCCAGGGGGACATCTTTGGCGTGCCGTCTCCACTAGGTCATGGATCTCTTTCCACGTGATCCGGTGTGGCTTTGGGTGTTGTCTCTGTCTCTTTTTTTTTCTTGTCTCTGACAGGGTCATGTGAGCCATCTTTTTCGTGGGTGGGGAGGTGTCGGACATTTCTAGCTGGAACCCAGATAGACTTTGGTTGATTCTGTGGGAAAACACAAGCAAATCCTCTCCCTGTGGTCAGCAATGAATCCGGTGTGGCTTTGGGTGTCGTCTCCACCTCTTTCTTTTCTTTGTCTCTAACAGGGTCATCCAGGCCATCTTTTTCGTGGGCGGGGAGGTGTCGGACATTTCTGGCTGGAAC